ACGCAAATACTAACACATATACATATGTACATATGTGTTCATATTTATAGGTACAGTGTTGAACAGCGCCAACATGGTGTGCACTCATTAGGAGTAAAATCCAGTTAACCCACACACTGATAATTATTTTTGCAGACATTTAAGGTTTTGCGTTTTTTCTGATTTAACAATTTTTTTTTTTTGTTTATTTCTTTTTTTTTGAAGCAAGCGAAGCGTACATCTTTAACAACAGTGGCACCAGCAGCAACGTCAAATGAAACCCGTTTTTGATACGAACAATAATGCAGAGAGTTATAATTTATTTTTGTCGTTTTTAGGGGGTTTTGGGCCGAGGCTGACTACATCACCATCGACTGAAAGTGGGTAGGTAGACCGGCCGGCAAATACATTTGTATGTGAGTGCGCACACATCCATGTGCACAGATGTACAAACACTTGTATGAAGCTATACAAGTCTTTACACATTTTCATTACGCTTGTATTTGTAGTAGCTTGTAGACACTTGGCTTGGTAAGTGAATTTGTCTTGGCGGATTAATGTGGTTACCACACACAGACACACGAATATTGCAGTGGAAATTGGTTCATATTTTTTGCTCTGTTGGTGGTGCCGTTTCAGCTGTTTCTCTGTTGTCATTGTTTTTGGGAGTTGAAGTTGCCGTCGCCATTACGGCAACTGTCACTACTACAATCGCTATAGCTATTGTGGTTCGAGTTATTGCAGCTTGTTGGCATTTATCCCACGTACTCGTTGTTTGTGGCACATTTTTGCAAAACGAATATTCCAGCATACAACAGTATATGGTTGGCTATGTCAAAGCATGCAAATAATTCACTTAATTTCATGAACGAATCAAGCGATTTTTAAAATCTGCACAAAACTACAATTGAATAGTTAAAACGTAGCCGTGTCTGCGAATATTAATTTTTTAACCCGATTTGAATGTAGATAAACGAATATATTGGTAAAATTGGCTTATTTGAAGTCAAATACTTAAATTATTACATATATGCATACAGTTACGGACAATAAAATAGAATCATCCATGGTACTAATTTTCCGTTCTAAAAACAAAAAATATGAATTTGACTTAAATTCAACTTAATTATACTTTTATTATGTACTTCACAATAAGTGCTGTAAAAATATTTGGAAAAAACAATTCATAAATATTACAAAAACAAAGGTAAAAAATATATATTTCAAAAATGCGAAGGACAAAAAAATTGAATCAAAATCTTTTACATTAAAAAAAAAAATTTTTTATTCGAACTAATAGAAAATTTTTTTACTAACGGAACGACTTCCGCAGTCATTTATTGTGGCCTATTTTTTCAACCTGTTTTGGGAAATTTTAAGGTATCAAACACAAATGTTCCATATGTTTGGAACATATGGGAAAAAAATAAATCAATTAATTAAATATTTTAAGATGCTTGAGAATATATTTAAAGTGATTCATACATAAGGTTTTGGGTTAAAAAATAATATTGCATACATTTTTTTAAAATTGTCCAATAATATTTTTAGATGTATGTATATACTTATACTTTTATACTTATGCAATACTTAAATAGAATTATACTAAACACCTCTTTGAATGCCCATTTAAATTCAGTTATGATTTGATTGATATTCTCGCAATCTTACTTTCGGTCAGGTCTAATTCAACCCAACAATCATTGCAGGGTTTATAGTGTTCCTCAAATGTGTACGTATGACGTGTTATTGATTTGAAAGCGTTAATAAACCTATGTACATACATACATAGATATTGACTGTCAAAAATTTTAATTACCTACAATTTAATTATCCCCCAGAAATTGTTAAATTACAGTAATTTGTACATTGCTTTAACACCGTAGCAGCAGCGCTAATTGCAACAAAGCTCAAAACAAGCGTTTAAAATGTATCAAAGGAAAGTGTCTGAGCGCAACATTACTATCTATTACGCTCCAAATACGAGGTATTAACTAATTGTATTTTTTGTACTAAAATTCCAAATATATGTATATCACATATGTACAAATATATTTATTATGTACACACAGTATGGAAAAAGAACAAAGCGACGATACCTTTGGAATGTGGTACTCTATGTGCGAGAAGGTGTGACAAATATTAAATAATGATATACAAGTTTTCAAAATGCTCAAATATGCAATATTTTAATATATACATATGTACATATGTATATATGTATGTATATAAATTTATATATGTATGTAATAAAAATCGTTCTTAGATAGCTAACTATAAACACCATGAAGTCAACATTTTCGAAAATGCATAGAATTTTTATGACACCATCTATTGAAATAACGAACCACTATCAAAATAGATAGCGGCTTAAATAAGTCCAATAAAAATGTTGTAGTACGTGAACTCTATTTTTATTTTCAACATGCACATTATTCCTTTTTGACTTAGTCTTTCATTTTTTGCATAATCTCGTCGTTCATATTTTGTTGATAATTTATACAGCTATACACATGCATACATGTCGCGGCGTACGAGAGGATGATTCATTGTAAAACGAATGGGTGATTTTGTGCTTCTGGTTTGATCAGTAGTAAAAGTCGCACTGAAACTTGATTCCCATTCAACGCGGCGTTCATTCATTTAATCATTCGCTACCTATTGTCTAGCCAGTATTAGTTTTGCGTTGCCAGAAGGCCAATCGCCCTGTTGTTCGGTCCAATCCAATTCAATTAACATCAATCTAATTTTCTAAATATGAGTGTCGCAGAAGGCTTTCTAGATCAGACCAGATAAAATAGTAACGGCAAACAGATGAGTAGCGTGGGTAGAAAAATTCGTACGGCGGTTCGTTACGATGCTCCATAATATAACCGGCTGCCGGTTTGGAATAATACTGGGAATTTTTTATGTAAATCGACAAGCTTTACAAACGTTATGGCGCATGCCTTAATTAGTACGAAAGTAATTTTTAATTAACTTTAATTTGATACATCATGCAATAAGAAATGTTGACTTTCAAAAAGTGAGATTTAGTTCTTCTATGACAAACCCAAAGTACAACAATGCAGATCTATGATACAGTAAGTCTTTTGCATTGAGGAAAGCAGGCAATTGCAAAAAGGTATATACGAGTATTATATGGATTTATTGAAACTTAACTTTATATATATCTTTTATCAAATATCAAATACTAGCATAATCTACAACACTTCTTCCAAGCAATGAGACAGTTTCAATAAAAACTGTTATGGATTACTTTGTTAAATATTTGAAAAGTACAACCACCAAATAGGATCGAAATTAGTTAATTATTTTGCACTTCAATTAATAAATCTAAAAATTCGTCAAACCATTTGAAGTGTTCACCCAGTTGAAAAAAAGTCTTGTCAGTGATAAGGGCTTGTATTGTGAGTGCCTCAATTATGATAATCACACCGAAGCGAACGCTGAACGCGACAATGTCACTCTACCTTAGGCGTATGTTTATATTTACAATTTTTGTTTTCTTTTAGGCATTCATTCATTGAATTTTTGTTTACAAACAAAGTTGTTCATCTATATATACAAGCGCACATACACATCTCCAATAAGTTAACTTTGATAATGGGCTTTTACGTTTGGTGTAATGGGCCTCTTCGTCCATATAGGCGAAAGGCACTTGCCTATGGCCCAAGAATTTTAGGACGACATTTTGGCTAATTTTATTTATTTGTTTATATATATTTTTTAATAAAGTTACATAAATAATTTCCAATAATTTGTTGAACTTTGTTGCTAAGGCAAAATAAGCTTAGAAGGGGTGGTGAATTACAATGGCCTTAAAAGCGCAAAGCGAAAGTGCTACAGTGAAGGATTGAAAAGCAATGACTAAAGGAAGTTTGATAACAATATGACCTAATTCACTAAACCACTGCATATGACTTTCATATTACAATAGAAGCTGCAACGCTCATTTACATACATATATTAAACATTTGTCTTGGGAATACACTACATACATATGTACATATCTGTACCCGTACTTTTAATTAAATAAAATAATAAATTTATGTAGTAAGTGACTGCAACACCCGATGACAAACAATAAATTTTTAAGAATTCGTAGGACTTCGAGATAATAGTCGGTATGCACTTGCATATGACAAGCTTTTATTTACCAGGAAAAAAATTCAAAGTCATATACATACATGCGCTTTATTCACATATATTCTGAATTAATAATTAATAATAACCATAAAAAAATTCGTATCAACATTTCCGCCCCGCGAGTTACTAGGAGAAATTACCAAGCAGGAAAAACTACCAATTTAAACCCTAAAACTATTTTGAAATTTCCTAATATCTACATTTATATATATAGTATATAGTCTATATGTAGATAATACGTAGCAACAATCAATAAAGATGTACATTCATATGCACCTAAATACGGGTATGTTTTGGAGTTTGAATATGCATACTTATGAACATTAATATACCATACATATATATATAGATGTATTTATATATTATAACATTATTATGAGCATATACATACATAGATGAATACAAACATACTTGAAAACCAAACAGAGCAATCGAAGTTTTCAATCGCCCATTTTTTACTCGGCACTAATACTCACACAATATTTAAATTAATAAATAACTCTACTCCAATATATATATATATTTTTTTGTTTTGGCAAGAACAATGACAACATGTGTACCTTGCAGGCGAAACATCCTGTATCAACTCTAACGAGAATGAAAACGAGTTTGAAGGACGATTTCACCTCACTTCGGCAAAAACTCCGATTGTTGTGAGCAAACTGCACTGTAAAGCAGTATACCAACAAATTTAATGATTTATCCCATGCAAACAGGCGGAAAAGTTGTGGAATAAGTAAGACAATATACAATAAACCCTAACATTTTTACTAATAAACATAGGTATATTTGGAGATATTTTTATGTATGGTAAGAAAATTTAATAAAAATTACAATGTATGAATAAATAAAAACAAGATAGTGTTACATACCTGTGAGAGGATTCCATCATTTGAAGATATTATTAAATCATCCATTTTTTGCTCAAGGTCTTCTGTGGTTTCACTTAAGGTTGTTTGTTCTTTGGTTTCTTCGATTAGGTGTTTCTCTTCAGTTGATACAGGTGAAGGTGATATCATATCAGCATCGATTGATTTCTGTGTAGGTGTAAACTCTGGTGCGAATATATTCAAAGACGTAGGCGAAGCATCGAAAACAGTACCTGGCTCACATTCGAAAGTGTTAGGTACAGAGTGTCGGACACTTTCAAATGAAGGATCATCGATCACAGATGATTGTTCCTCCACATTAGGGATTTGAATTTCGTCATTATACAAATTCGGTTCATCAACGGAAGTAAAGTCGATACCCGGTGCAAGTTGATTACGCGCTTCAGAGGAAGTACTTTCTACATAAAAGGAGTCTTGCATATTTGCAACATTGTCCATATCGATCGGAATTTGTGGAATATCCTTCACTGAGGAATGTAATTCGTTTTGCAAGTTCATTTGCATCTCTTCCGTAGACGGCGAATGCGAAATATTTTCTTTTTCGTCTACATCAAGCAACTCTTTCCCCTCAGTGGCAGATCCTTGATGCGATGATTCCTCAACAAATGAGCTGTTCAAATCTATTGGTAATGGTTGTACCGTATTAAATACATCTTCGATAATTTCAACATTTTCTTTAGGGTTCTCATGCGTTTCGTCTATTTTTTCAACATCAACCGGTTGTGAGTCTGTATCTAAATCGACAGAAGTCTCGGGACCATGATCGATTAAGTTTAATGGCGATTGACTGAGTATATCTGAACAATATTCATTTGCATTTCTTTCTAATTCAAGTATATTCTCGCCATAACTATTGTGACTTTCCAAATGTTCTTGAATTAATTGAGGATCCTGTTGTGAGTGCTCTACCGAACCCACACCAATCAAATCGTCTTCTTGTTCCAATTCATGCGGGCGTTTTGCAGCTTCGTGTTCAAAATCATTTTCTTCTGGTAAAGCAATTGCGTCCAAGTTGGATTCAGCACTTCCCTTGCGTGGGCTCTGAGCAACAAAATCATCATCGCCCAGTAGGTGCCGTGGAAGTGAGTTTGGTTGTGTTGGTATTTCCTCAACCCTATTTGAAACATCTTCTTCAACAACAAATTCTTTATTATCGATAGTTGGAGAAGTAGGGTTTGATCCAAAGCTTGGAACAAATTCTATTGCATTCGGATTTAATTGAGAGTGCATTTCCGATTCGTAATCACTATTTCCAGTTGTTTCCACGAATGGAATATCACCATGGGCATTTGTAAGTGATGGAACGTTATTTTCCTTGTCCTCATTTGAAAAATCATCACTCTTTATAATATTGCCTTCTATCGGTATTTGTTGTAATTCCTGCTGTGGAGCACTCTCACTAAGGCTATTTGTTCGATTAGTATTATTGGTTGCTAACGAACTAGGGTCGTCTTCTTCGGTCTCATCCGCCATGCTTCCTGTATTAGTACCTTCTTCCAACAGATCTTCAACTTGTTTTGGTATTAATTGCCCTTGTGGTATATGTTCAATTTGCATTTGCACTTGCAACACACCGGTATCTGCATAGCCGTCTTCACCGGCTGTAGAGGTAGTATTTGAAGTTGTTGAAAAATCACCATCATTTTTTATTACTTCTACGTCGACTTCTTCATTCTCTTCAATGCCGGTTGCGGCATTGTCAGCGTCTGCGTCAACTGCGGCTGAAATGGCAACGACACCGTTACCAACTTCGTGATGGTCTAGCAAAAGTATATCGGCACCGACATCATCATGCTCGTATCCATATCCATGCCCGTTGCCAACTTCCTCTACGCCTTCCACGTTTTTACAAGCCACACTGGCTTTCAACTGCTGCTGTTGCTGTTGCTTTTCGCTCTGCTGCCCTTCTTTGATATATTTCCATTCCTCTTCATCATGCTCTTCATGCACCTCAAATTTTCCACCAATCTCATCTACAGCAACATTATCACACACACCATCACCACTATCCATCTGCAAATTCTCCATTAAATGTTGAGAATTTTGCAAAAAATTGTCCAAATGCGCATTATCCTCGTGCTCCATTTTAACGTAACGTTTTTATCCGTACTTTCTTATTCCTTTTTACTTTGTTCACGCCTACTGGACCTTATTCTCTTTCCTTCTCAGCTCGGACTATAATCTTTGTCTGAATTTAAAGAATTAAACGTCACACTAATTTTTAACACATACAGTTCAAAAATTGCTCAATGTTCCCCGTTTAAATTTAATATTTCCAACTTTTTCCCCAATAATCTTTCTGTATAAGTCTTCACAAATTTGCTGCACTTTTCGCACTGTGGAGATTTCAAAACCGACCGAAGAACACACCCGGCAAAATTATCCAACTGGCGCACGAACCTAATGGGCGGCACGAAATACATTCGTTTATGGTGTTGCCACCATCTTATACACTAATTTTGCCAACGGCTTCCTCATGTTAGCAAGAAACTATTAAGTTAAGGCGCTAAGTTAACACAGAAGAATGCAACCGGGTGATAACAGAGAACATATAACATTGAGAGGGTGTATATTTATGTAAATTTTGCAGTTCTTAATTTTGTAACACCAAATACCAAAATTTGTAAGCCTTGTTGAAAAAGTTGATTTGGGTGATTTTGACTAATCGTTCAAATCAAATCACTGCATTACTTGTGTACTCAAAAAATAATTTTTTTTTTTTAATTTTTCATCTATCATATTCTGTGTCATGATAGATATATATTTATATTCTGTTCAACTTGTTGAATTTTTCTGGTTTCGTGGGCTCGGTTCACATTATGTAGTAAAGGAACTTTTGTTTTAATGGTAAATAATAATGGTGGAATTGACTAAACAATAATATAAAAGGGTGGCATCATTTTGGACTAAAAACATGTGGAGCTGATCGAGGTTTGTATTTCAGGTGGAAGTTTTTGCGGTGCACATATATTTTATTGAAAGGATAAAAATAAAATGACGAAGAATAAGAATTCTGACTTAAAGAGTAATAATGTAAAGGGAAATGTGTTGGAGAAAAGTAAAATAATTAAAAAGAATAAAAAAAAAAACATCGAAGGTAAGAAGAAGTTACAGCAAGCCGTCACGAAAAAAGTTGAGAAGCCCACAACTGCTGCTACAAACGGAAATACTGAAGCAGGTGCTCTTGTTAACCAGAAGAAGCCAAAGAAGAATAAGTCCAAACAAAATAAGGACACAATTGACGCATCTACAAAGAAGAATAGTGGTAACAAATTCTTGGGAGTAATCGAAAAGAAAAATGCTAAAAAATTGGCTAAGAAATTAAAGAAGCAAGCAAAAAAGGAGGAAGCTGCCAATAAGACACCTAAGGGAAAAGACAATACAAGGAATTTAAAGTCAAAGTCTGATAATAAAGGTAATAATGCTAATATTCACAAAGATCGATCTACATATATATATATAAAACTCGTAATAATCAACTTTTTAGAACCAAAAGAACATGATCCAAACGAAACTGCATGCACCATATTTGTCGGCAATTTACCCGTGAATACAAAGCGTGCTCAATTAGTCCGTCTATTTAAGGATTATGGACCGATTAATGGTGTTCGGTTTAGAACCGCCAATGGGAAAGTTTTATTTAAACATAAACACCGAAAAGAGGCCGGCACTCTAAGCGCTTGGATAGTACTCAAGGATGCAGAGACAGTAACACGTGCATTGATCTTAAATGGAACCGTTTTCAAAAACAATCACTTACGTGTGACACGTGGAAATGAAAAGAGTAGTTCTATGGATACGAAACGTACAATTTTTGTCGGTAACCTTAAATACAGTAAGTTAAAAAATAATGCATAGAACATATGTTATTTTAAATACGAAAAATATTTTAGGTGCTAATGAAGAGAAGCTGCGTGAAATATTTTCCTCTTGTGGTGACATAGAATACGTAAGGTGCTTAAATGATGATAAAGGGTGTAAGGGTGTGGCATATGTTTGTTTTAAAGGCCCAGAAGCTGTAGGTTTGGCATTGGAACTTAATGAAACTATGCTAGATGAACGTCCAATTCACGTTGAACGATATTCTATAAAAAAATTGGGTGCAAAGAAAACAAGAGATGTAGCTGAGAGAGAGATTAGAAATAAGTCAGACGGTGGAAAGGTTCAAAAGGACAAAAAGAAAGTTAAAGGCGATAACTCACAAACAAAAAAAGTTGCTGACACAAGCAAAAAATCCAAGTTTCGTGGTGTCAAAGTTGAAGGTGGGCACGTAAAGAAGCAAAAGAAAAAGGTGACAAGTCAAATGCAAAAATTAGCCAAGAAGATTGCGCCGAAGGAAAAATCTTAATTGTATGATCACGTCGTAGTTTAAAAAAATACAAACAAAATTTGTATTTTAGAGTTATTAAAAAGTACAATTTATGAATACTATTTTTTTATTTTTATTTCCAATTGCTTTCTTAATTTTGCTTGTGATTCTATGGGAAACTTATTAATATGTTTTTTTGCGCAAGCCAAACAATATGTACATGTATAGTAAAAACTACATTCCGCTCCTTTGCAAACGACGTTTCCGCATACTGTACACCTGGAACCTATTATTACAAAGTACTCTGCTTTGGGCTTCCAACGAATTGGAGGTGGTTGAAAAGGATCACGTAGTATAAAAGAATCTTCTAAAAGCTTAAGTCCATATACAAAGGGCGGAGTTTTGCCAAAATAGTTCACCATTTCAAACATATCGCATATAGTACATTGAAATGTAATTTTCGGAATACGGTCGTCGCTTTGTGATTCACATTTTTCTGAACTCTTTGAGACATTGGCATCAGCTTCTAAGCGTGAAATCTCTTCCTCATCATCTTTCACATTTAACTGTAAATCTTCGTATCTATTTAGATGGTAAGGTGATCGGTTCGAGATTTTAGAATCTTCCATAGCTGTTTCTGCAAGAGAATACATAACGAGACATTGAAATTTTCAAAATCTCAATAAATACATATATTTAGTATATTTATAATATATACCATTAATTTGAGATTTTAAACATCATAGCATTATAGATAATTCGAAGTTACATAACAATCGCCAACGATTACTAACCACTAGTTAACAATAAGAAAAAATAAAAGTGTGGAGTTTAGGAAATTTCAAATTTAGCAGCCCTCAACTCTAGCTTTCTTTGGCAATTCATTTGGCCACCAATACGGTTTTTCTACGTAGCATATATTGCCATCTACAAACAATTTGGTTGAACCTAAAGCTTGTTCTACACGCAAAAGTCCTAAAGCCCTATCTAAATTTGCTCCGCGAATTACACCAATATTGGTGCCTGCTTCTGTTGAGATATTTATCGATTTTGGTGAAGCCGGAACAGACAATCGCAAAGGCATTATACGCTTTCGAACTACTCCTGTGTGGTGGACTCGTGCCGTTAACTCTTGGCCAAGATAGCATCCCTTATGAAAGCTTACGCCATGCATATAATCACAATTAGCTTCCAATGGAAAACTCTTGCCTGGCGGAAGGTCTTGAACACCTTCTCCAACGCCATAACGATAACGATGCATGCGATAGTTGCAGTCGTTGGTAGGTTTTGCTACCGTAATGTCGCCGGATTTAGAAAACATGTTTGCTAAATCTTTCCACGTTTTATCAGTTTTGGTGATGACACGTGTGCCTAGGTCACGTATACGAGGATCTGGAGTAGAAATGACTTCTTGTCCCACTTGAACACTTGTGTCCATTCGAACGACGCTTCCAACTGGGTTAAAAACAATCCATGGTCTGTATTCTCCATCAACTGCATCAATTTGAATATTTCGCCTTACGCGATAAAGACGCAAATGTCGACTTAATTCGTTTGATATAAATTTATCACACTCAATTAGGTAAGTATTCGGCTCTGGCGTACGATAAATTATAGAGTCATACAGCACTCTGCCAGCCTTATTAAGGAACATTGTGTACATTGCAGAAGTTTTAGGAAGAGGTGTGCTGCCCGATTGCAGATGAGTCATATCGTTTGTTATGAGTCCTTGCAAGAAGGGCACAACCTCTTCTCCCTTTACTCGCACTAAAACTCTGTCCGTTAATTGCTCGACAACCAAACGTTTATCAGCAAACTTTTCATTGCGTTGCACCCACATGAAGTTGTTTGTCGTCTCAATAAAACGCGCAAAACTTGACTTTATTTTCGTTAGACCTTTTAGGATGTTCATTTTAAAACGTCTGCGAATGGCGGAACATTCAATTATTTTAATGTACAAACAACAACTATAGAATCTCTTACATTCAAATATTCCTTTACTATTTCAATATAATTTTCCTCTTTTGAATACAAAGCTATAGCACATAAAAGTTTATATAAAAATTTCGAAAATATGTCTATACAATTTGTAATAAAAAGCTAACAAATTAATTCAAGGCAAAATAGATGAGAAAACGCCAGAACAGCTGATGTGAATTACAAAACTGACAGCTTTTTGTTACTATCGATATTCTAATGTTGAATATCGAGTAAAGTGGATTTCAAAAATAGTATATAAAGTATTTTTAAAAATTTATCTTGCAATTAAATAGAAGCGAACAAGTAGTTTGAAAATAATAATCTAATTAGTAGCTGCAGAAAATATTTAATAAATCAACATTTATAATTCTTGCATTTTTAATCAAAAGACACATTTTTGTTTTTAAAATATTTTTATTATTACACGTTACATAATGCCCAACCGGAATGTGTATTAAAAATCCATAAAATTTACAACAGCAATGATTAAAAACATATATAATCCTATTCAAGTTTTAAGTTTACTTATAACATTTTTTATATATTAGTATTTATTTGTTAGCTAAAATTTCAAATTTAATGCCATGATCATGTTTTTCCAATTCAGATATTAAACTCGTTTTAGCAAATGCAGCTCCTGGTGGTAAAACACCACCAGTTCCCGGCAATTTATCATTTTCCTTTAATATTATTACAGCCGCACTGAGTAGAGCTACACAGGTCGCACCATAACCAGGATTCGATCCGGATACTTTGACTGTCAATGTTTTGGTTGGTAAATCCGTGTATTGATCAGTTGGTTCTGACAATTTCTCCGAACTTGGCCATCCCTTTGCTCTCATAATAAATGAAAAACGTGTCTGCTCCATTCTTTCTTCTGTAGGGCCTTCATGGGACGCAAATCCTAATGAAAAAACTTTAGGATATTTTAGCAATAAGCGGCGACCAAAGGTAAACTTAGTTAAAAATCCAAACGAAACTGCCAATAAAGCTACTAACACAGCTGCTAGCCACGATGGGAAAGTAACATACGTGTGCATTTGAACAGGACGCTTATGCTCATGTTCATAAAGGAAACGTTGTGAACGCATTACAACTGAACGATCGGGTCCGGGAAATGGGAGACAAACTCCATTTACAATTTCAGATCGAAAAATAACTGGTCGAGGTTTTAAAACAGGAGTAAATTTAGGCAATTTCTCTTCGTATAACTTCTTGCGTAATTCTTTTAGCTCGTTTGAATGGGCCAAGCCATGAACAGCGCTCTCCCAAGTACCATAATGAATTCCAGCACCTCCTCTTGAAGCATTTCCTTTTACGGAACTCTGCAGATAGCTCTCCACTGAATTTACAACACCATCAAAGTTTTTTTCTATAAAAACAACTCCGAGATCTGCCGGTATTGAATCAAATCCACAGGCAGAAATTATAAAAACTTTACGCTCTTGTGCTTGTTTATTATATTTAAGTTGCATTGTTTCCATGTATTGAGGTTCACCAGTAACATCAACTTGATGGGTGCCAGCTTCAAGACATGCTCGCACAACTGGCTCTCCAAAAAAGCGGTATGGTCCGCAACAATTTACTAAAACACGACAACGCTTAGCCATTGTTAGTAGTGAAGCTTCATTTTTTATATCAGCGATGATGATTGGAATATCTTTTAGGTTTTTCTTTGCTTTTGCACCCATTTCTTGAAGTACAGTTTCCAGTTTTTCTTGACTACGCCCAGCAATTCCCCAGCGATAGTTTTGAAGTACACTAACAGCTTCAAAAACGGTGTACTTACCAGTAAAACCTGTAGCTCCAAATATTATAACATCCAATTTTTCCGACATTTTGGAATTAATTTTTTTAGCAACGAAAATGATAAATTATATAGTTTTTGTTGTAATTATTAAGGTGCTTATCTCCTCTGGTCAAAAGTCGCCTTATTATATCTGTAAGGACGTCATAAATTAAATTGTAAGAACACGATATTTTCATTTATATTATATAAAATATAGACAATTACTGGATCTTACTGAATTATAAAATGGCAATTATACTCTCCCAATGATAACAATAAAAACTAAACCTAACTCTGCTCCACCTCTGAATAACCTTTAGCCCTACCACCTGCTAACGACGAAATTCGGTAACTCCGAAAGTTACTAATTGAAATAATTATGTCAGCAGTTGGCTTCACTTTAATATTGCCAGATTTAGTAAATAAGTTTTAAACTCATATCACGGTATTAAATATTCAATTTATGAAAATTATAAATTGTGCAAAAGAAAAATTTATATTTATAAATTGTATTGTTTTTATACAGCTTTGATAAAGTTGAAACCTTTCTTTAAATTATGAGTGTCAATTAATTTTTGTTACATTAAAGTAATAATGGCAGCACTTCTCCGCGACAGTATTGTAAAATGAAATCAAAGAAAAACATTATGAAATGCGTCATTATTTCACAATAATTTCAAAAGTACAAATAAACCCAGTTATTTTTAACACACATTTTACAAAAGATTACCGATGGATATTGAATCCAAATTATGTTCACGATTTTTGGAAAATCTGACGGATGAAAATGAACAAAATTGTTCTTTGCATCAAGACATAACAAGCGTTGAAAGTGTTGGCGCGCAATGCAACAACGGGCTTTGCGTAAAAGTGATTGCGGGAATTAATGAAAATTCCGACTATTCGGACAAAATAAAAGAGGCCAGTAAAACTGATGGTTCACGAAAACGAGATGCTGCTTGTGCAGTTAATTCTACGTCCAAACGTTGTAAGTTGTATGAAGAAGAAACATCCAATGCTAATGAAGAACTGCAGATAGAAGGATCTGAATTTATGAATGAAAGAGAAGCAGAGATCACTGCTGAAGTCCAAAATCTGGAAGAGAACAACTGGGTCGTAAAAGTAAAAGTGGAGTGCTCAACCGATAATAGCGATGAACTCAATATCAATAACGTTCCCACTAGCTCTGTAAGTTCTAATCAAGTTGATGTAAAACCAGCAGTTAAGGTTGAGAAGGCCGAGGCTAGTTCCACTTTAAGACAGTCTTGCCGCTTTGGGATCCGTTGCTACAGGTATCAGGAATATTATAAAAATTTTGACTTTTATAAGTACAGAATAATTACATGGAGTTTTGATTATTTATTCAGGCGAAATCCAATGCATCGTTCGGAAGAAGCTCATCCAGGGGATCACGACTACCGGAGACCTATTTATCCACCTCCTCCTAAAGGCACACCTGAGTGTCCTTTTGGTGATCAATGTTACCGTCGAAATCCAACACATTTTGAACAGTTTAACCATCCTCCAGAAAGTAAATAATTACAAATTGCAAAACTGATTAAAATTTAATTTAAAAAAATTCAATTCGATTTTAGATTAAAATTCTTTTCGTATTTTTATTCGAATTTGATTTACTCTTTAAGCTGATTTCGAACAAAATTACAAAAACTACCGCCTGCGTCAAAGACGACGTCAACAACAAAGAGATGATAATATAAATATTAACAATTCTGAACTGGATGATGACTCTGAGGATCCGTTTAATGACGATGATGCATTCGATTCAGACTATGAGCCGAATAGTGATGACGAGGACGATGAAGATTATGATGCGTGTGATAAAGCTGAAGAATAATGATTACCTTTATTTTTAGTTATTTTTTTTTTTTATCCAAATGTTTAATTGGTGTAACAAATGAATTTAAGAAAAAATGTAAAACGGAAATGTTTTGTAAATATGTAAATTGATGATTAATTATGCTATTGAATTTCAACAAATCCCCTCTTTCTGCTAATGCGACATATTGCATTGAATTTATTTTTCAACTATTTTAATTTTCCTTAGTATTTGATGGTGGTATATCATGGGGAAAACAAATATAAAAAATTAAATTATAACACCCTGGAATGACTAAATGTCCTTTTATGGAAAACTTTTTGCCACGAATTTCGCCATGGAATATTGTTTAAAGGAGCGGTACAATTTCTGAAGAAATTGTTTAGATCGGATTACGATAGCATCCAGTGTTTGAAAGGAAATGTTTAAGTTGTTGCTATTAATGTTTTTTCATATTTTTATGATGATTATTTAATTTTAGAAACTCTAAAGTGAGTAAACAATCATTTATTGTTATTATAAATTTTCCTTTTAATAAAATCCTTCATCCAAATCATCATTAATTTTATTTTCAAACACAGCACCCCATTTCGCTGCTTCTCCACCACGCACTTTTACGTTATAGCAAACATTTTCAGCTTTTAAAACACTTTGACGCATTGTATAAATTTTTCGAGATAATTCTCGACAACGCTGAACATTAAGACTTATATACCTGGAAAACATAAAATATAATTGGATCATTTTCGGACTATATCTTATAATACCCTGAGTAAAGCTGTTGTAGAACTTTACACGTTTCCAAGCACACATCCGTTTCTCCACCACCCAAAGAATTAATGCACCGCCTCATTAGTTCGCCAGTTAGATCAGCTATTCCCAAAATATATTCTGTAGGGTCAACGAAAAATTCAAACTTTTGCGTTACTGAAAAAGTATACATTTTTATTAATCATTTCAATCGCGCAAAAAGTATTGTATTTTTCTTTTAATACTATACCAGTTTTAACATCACTTTCTATATCCAGTTGATTTGGACTTTCAATTGATTCCTGAGAGTCGTCTGGGACTCTATTAAGTTTATCATCTCGTTCATATTGCATTTTTTGTTGCAAAAACATCCAATCCGACATTTTGTCTGACTTTTCATCAGCACCACTTTTATAATACTCCATAAAACTATATGCTTCAATGAATTCCTGTAATCCCGGTGAGTATGCACATCTGTATTGATAGGGATCCTGTCCAGTAAGCTCCAAGGCTATAGACTTGAAATTTACCTCAATCACTTTTGTCAAGCGTTTTTCGGCTTCTTCTAGTACTTTAGATCGATTGTTTTTTCTGCCGTCTATAGTATGTAAAAGAAAAATTATACGTTTTGATTCAATGGTGATATCGCGGCTAAGTTTCACAATCCGTTCATATCGATCATGTTTGTCGTCCAGCTCAAGCGCGTATTCCTGGAAAACTTTTACAACGGGATTTAATTCCTCACTAAAATTAATATCTTGAACAGTTTTTTGCTTTTGCTGATTTCGCCGGTTATTATGACGAAAACGTGAATTTTGTGACATTTTTATGTTATTGTGTTATTATGTTTATATCCTTGTTTATAACTCCTTAAAACCTCCAACTATTTATATTAATTAATATCTTGAACAGAAACACAGATGCAACTAAATTAATCGATTTCCAAAAAAGACAATCGGAGATACATCGATATTAGATTTATGGCTAGCGAAAACTACGTAAATTTATACTCATAGCAATACCTGTAAAACGACGGATCGTGACAGTCAATAATTTTTGTTAGGGTTATGAATAATGAAGCTAATTATTATTGAAATCACTTATAGATTCATAATTTATGTAGATGAATGTTCATTCGTCAATTCCATATTATTATTATTTTTTCCATGAAAATTTTGAGAAATCGTAAACGAATCGATTTACAATCACTCATTCCAATTATTCGTGATGCTTTCGAATGTTTGGAGTTTTACCATTAGAGATTTTTATTTTCCTGCTGTGCATCTGTCAAAATTGATCAATTGACAATTTTAGACCGACATTCGTGGCAAAGAGATTTGTTTACTTGTTTGTTTTCGCAATAAAAAATAAATAATAGTTTCTAATACATTGTTTAAAATTCAATTTAAAGTAATGCAAGATAACAACAAAAGTTTTGCAAACATTGAAGGTGACAAAAGCTCGACGACTTTATGTTTTGACAAAAATGATTTCATGAAGGTGTGTGAGTTTTTTATTATAAGTAAATATATATAAATATAAATATATGTATATGTTAATAATGTTTTTCTCAGGGAAATTTTTCCGTCGATGAATTTTTGCATAAAAATCGAAATGCACCAAGCTTGGAGCAGCTTCGGGATGACTTGGGTATATATTTGAAAGACTTAAGGTCCTCAATGATTGATCTCATTAATGAAGACTATGCTGACTTTGTAAGTTTGTCAGCGAACCTTGTTGGATTAGATCAATCAATCGAAGATATTGAAAATCCTTTGGTTCAATTTCGTAAAGAAGTCGAAAATATTCGTTCTCTGCTCAAAGAATGTGCTTCAGAAGTGCGGCAAAATTTGGAGAAGAAGCAACAGTTTCGTTTTCAAAAGCGAAATTTGCAATGTTATCAGAAAGTGGAAGAAACCTTGCATAAAATTGAAAATTTATTAGCACATCAATTAAAAGAAGATCTAAAACCAATTGATCTAGAACGTACAGCACTTGAATTAATACAACTACAATTCAATCAAAAATTTTGTTGGGATATGTTAAAGGACGAACAGAAAAACAATTCCGAAAGATTACAAAATGAAGTTTTCGCTAAATTACGAATATTTTTTAATAATTCCCTAAAAAGTTCAACGAGCACATGTTCGGAACTATTGGAACGGTGCTTAAGGATTTATATCACACTTGATGCTTGTCAAATAGCCGAGCAGGTATTTCGTGAAGACATCGTTGCACCTTATATGAACGCAACTATTTCGGAACACTGTCTGCAAAATTCTCCCCAAGGTCTGTCGGGAATATACGGAAAGATTTTAAATTTCATATCACTCCACATGACCGATTTGCTTCGCTTGACACATTACACAGACAAACTAAGCGGTTTTAATTTTTTGGTAAACAGCTTTTGGGTGGATGTAGAAATGCGTTTAGAAACACATATGTCATCGATCTTTGCCCCCGGTAATTCCGATGTATTCTACATGAAATATAAGTGTACACGAGATTTTTTGTCAAAGATTGAAGAACTTTTGGCAAATGACGAAGCAGTAAAAAGCTTTAAGGAACATAAACAAACATTGAGTTTCCAATCGCGATGGAATCTGCCAGTTTATTTCCAAATATGTTTTCAGGTATGAAAAGATAATGGTGAGGGATTACCAAAACTTTATTAAAATACATGCATAATATTACATTGCAGGAGATAGCAGGAGAATTTGAAACAGCACTGGTACCTTTGCTACATGTGGAGATGATGAATTGTAAATCAAAAGCAATAGATTCTCGCTATCAATTGACCCCATTTAATAGTGCATCTAAAGCTATAGAACACTGTTGGAAAGAAGGTGTCTATCTCTCTGAGATTTTCCCAAAATTTTATAAACTAAGCGTCCAAATTTTACTACGACTTTCTCGGTGGATCTCCGATGTTTTACAGCTCATTACAAATTTCAGCTCCAAAAACAAGAGCAACTCTGAGTCGTCTATTCAAATCAACAAAACAAATGTACTAATAGCATTGCATGCTGATGTACAGGTGCTAATTGAACAATTGCCTGGAATAGAACGACATATCGCTATAAATGTGCCCAATGAGCTACAAAGTGATGCAGACGTGTGTAATGTTGTTGCGAAATCGGTTGCCGACGTGCGGGGGACACTTAAGGGCCATCTAGGTGCAGTTCAAGATGCGCTAGTCGACATATTAACATCTGAAAGTGGTATAGAAAGTGTTCGTCAGGTTAAAGATTTACCACGTTTGTATCGAAAAACTAATCGCGATATACCTACGAAGTCATCTCCCTACATTGATCAGATGCTGCGTTCTTTGAAATCCTTTCAAAATGAACAAAGTTCACAACTTGGAAATGCTATCGCCACCAATGTTTTATTGAAAGTTTGCTCAAAAATAACTAGAGAGTAAGTAAATGCATTTTACTAAAACACACGTATTTGTGTGAATATATTGTGCAAATATCACAGTAGAAATGTGCTAACTTTAACATATATATATATATATACATTAAGTTWTACTTTTATACTATATATATATTATACTATATATATATACTTTTTTTTTAGTTATTACGTTACAGTTCAGGATGTGCTCACATCAGTGCAGAAAACAGAGGAGTCGTTACGTCGTTTGCGCAACCTTAAAACCGGTGCTACAGCTGCTCTTACAACAGCGGCAACAACGATGTCAGATGATGATAAAATTCGATTACAACTTCACGTAGATGTGATTGCATGGACAGGAGAATTGGCCAAAATGGGTCTAATGCCTTCACAAGTGGATGACTTGCTCGAATTGAATAACATTGTCGAAGCGAGCACGAAATTAAAGGAAACCAAAGATAATTAATAAGAACAGCACAAACAAGTTGAATTATTTGATAAATACAAATATTACTAAGCATACAATATTTGATTGACAATTTTTATTTATATCTTAAAAAATTTTCTATTAATTATACATACCTCCACTTGAAGTCAATGAAAACAAGATGTATTTGTTAGCACTTATAACTGTTTAGGCACTTTTTAATATTGTCAATGTTTATCAATTAGGTGTTGTGGTGTGCAATAACAGTATGCTTTACTATTTCTTTTATGCTATGTTGTATAATAAAAAATCTGTATTATATTTAATATTTTAATTTATAAATAAATGCATCATTAGTTGTTATATACTTTTGGTGTTGAGATTTATGGAAATTACATTATTTTCAATAATTAAGTATACTTATTTTTCACATATGCTTGTTGCACAAATTGTAAATTCAACACGCGTTAAATGTGTATATAAAAATTTATAAAGCTACACAGTAGTGCAATCAAGCTTTAGGTCACGAACTTTGAAACTTATAGTGCAAATCTATGTGTTATTATAATTTCAACTCTTCGGTATCAGGAAGTTTTTGGAAAAAGGAACTAACGCGCTCTTCGGTCACCTCTTCCAGGGTGGGAGGATTCCATTTAGGCTTCTGATCCTTGTCAATTAGTAAGGCTCGTACGCCCTCTTTGAAGTCACTGTCTTCCAAATGACGAACAACCATGCGATATTCCATTTTTAAGCATTGCGGTAAAAGCAGTTTTGAGCCCAACTCAAGTTCGCGAAAAGTGACTTTTAAGGACAGTGGTGAAACTTTTTGGAGCATCTATAAAATAAAATGATAAGGTATTAATATTTCTCTTTAAATTTTGTTAATTTTAAAATATAGCCTAAATACAATTGTACATACATCATATTTGTATATAGTTATATTCTTTACAAATACTTTACCTCCAAAGTTTTATTCGCCCATTCGCTTCCATCTGCTTTGAGATTTTCAATGATCTCTTCAACAGAGTTAGCAGTGAAACATTTGTTTATTTTATCCAAAACGCTATTTAGGATGAAGTCTTTCTTTGTGGGTGTATTATATTTATCAAGAATATCTTTCACAGTATCAGCATCCTTGCAATTAAGCAGCTCCGTTTGTAAATCTCCTAATTTTGCGTTTTCACAATAGTGTGTGGCTAATCCAGCCTTCAATACGTCATCACCTCTTAGTCGAAAACCTGTTAGACCTAAAAATAGACCCAATTTTCCTTGCAAACGTGGTAGAAAATAGGACCCACCAACATCTGGGAAGAGGCCAATCGCAGTTTCAGGCATTGCTAATAGCGTACGTTCTGTGGCTACACGATATTTTCCATGAACAGAGAGTCCTACACCACCGCCCATTGTAATGCCGTCAATAATGGCAATGTAAGGTATAATGTAATTTCCGATTAGAGCATTTGTGGTATATTCTTCACGGAAGAAAGCTTTGGACTCTTCCGTGGGTCCAGCTTCGACTATGGAACGAACATCACCACCAGCACAGAAAGCTTTGTCACCAGCACCTTTTATTATTACCATGGACTTGGTCAATTCACATTTCTTCAAATGTTTGTGGACTTTTCGTACCATATCTAAGTTGATTGCATTTAAAGCATTCGGCCGATTGAGAATAATCATACCCTTGTCCGATGATTCAGTTGCAATTACATATGAAGACATATTGCGAGTGTCCATCAGAGAAGACGTGAGAGAACGGCTTAAATGGTTTTTTGAAAGTAGTGTGGCGGAACAGGTTCGATGACCAAAGGCATATATTATTCGATTAATTGGGTGCATCTGGCGGAAGAGATAATAAAATGGTAAATACATATAGGAACGCACTTTATACCTTTAAAGTACTTTTACATATAGTTTAAGTAATTAGAATTATATGAGCAAAACTGAGTCTTCCGTAATTGGCGTTTTTGTATACAATTCTCTTCCTCGAGACCCTTTAAGTTGCTAAAATACTGCTTTAATATATGCATAGTTGTAGTTTCGAATCAAAGTTCACTAAAAATATAAAGTTTTTTTTGCGTAAAACAAAAAATTAATTACTTTAGTTTTAAATTCGCATTAATCCATTGAAAAATCAAGCCTTAATTACAAGAAATTAAATAAAAAACATTTTTCACAAACGTCGAAAATTTTCAAAATCTTAAATTAAAATTCATCCAAGCGTAAGTGTAAGTAAATTTAATTCTGGATTAAAGATGTTAAACAGGAAGTATTCTCACACGAGTTATGATAATGTGTCCAGTTCCATTAAATAAACGTTCCGAAGAGTGCATATAATGAAGATATATGCATATATTATAAATACATATGTGAAAACAAAGCTTAACACGAGAATCTCTTTGATACTTTATAAAAATGTTGCGCACTTTAATTCTAATGCTTCCAATTGCTGGAATGTAAACATTGTCCTGCTTGTAAGAATAGTTTTAAATCAATGCATTTAATTCGCTAATTTATGTGACCCCAAACAACTTACGATTCTGAAATTCGCTACGTAGGTAAGTATAAGTATTTGTTCTTAGTTGCGCAATCAAAAAATGTTTTTATATTGTGCTTCGACACCAGATCACTGTTTTAATCTGTTATCTGGTCGTTTATCGTATCTATTGTCACCGGTTCTGATTTGCTTATTATTCCTTTGCTGCCTTTCGCCCCAGTGTTGCAATACGAAAACAATAAATACGTGCCTACCCTAGGGTTAATTTAGATTTATGCAAAAATTGACCACCATTTATTATTCTATATAAATTATTTAGGAAAGTATATGAAGTAGTCTCTAGGAATAACACGATCTGAATGCATGTTTCAAGAAATCAATTAATAATTATAAATTATATATTGTCAAACTATAATTCCGGTTCATACAGTGACCGAAAAAATATGAAGTACTTCGTGAAATGTCGAACCTAAGAACCGAATTAAGTACCGTTTAAGGTACCCAACCGTCGCAATAACTGAAAAGAATTCCGAGGTTTGATCGAGTTTCTCGTTCCACTTCTCTGAACGGTTTTATTTTAAATAAAATAATACTGATATCTGAAAACACCGGTTATGTTTATATATTTGTTCACTTGAAACTAAAATAAAATTCTTTTTATTTAGTTTTCGAAAAAAATGTTATTCATTTTATTTGTTTGGATTTTTCCAGTTTTGCTTCATTTGTTTCGTTTAGTTTTTGTTTACATTTGACTACTCACAAAGTCCTTAGACCTTATAACCCACCAAGTGACGTTTGCCAATACATTCACCAATATAAAACCAGAAAAGAACCTCGGCGGTAACTAGAGTGTTCAACCATGCCTCTTTTACAGTCAGATTTTTGTATGCGCCAGTACGGGCACCATTAATTAGACGACCGATTCCTTGACGAATAGCTGGAATGTCACCTGGGGTGGGTGGTGTTAGCTCCACTTTTGCGTACTTAAGAAAAGTCTCAAGTTGGGGTCTTGCTTGTACCAGCAGTTCTGTAATGTTATATAATCAATACATATTACGAAATTGTCATTAAATTTTTGAATACGTACTGTTTACTAAGGTGGATCCTTTTGTTGCAAGGCTCGCCATTATTTTAATTTAACGCTAAGATATTTTTCGTTATAGAAAATAAAGAAAAATTAGTTTCTCACAATTAATAATGGTAGTCGATGAAGACAAAATTTAAGTCTTGTGGAAAAATCAGCTAAACGTCAAAATGTGCCACAAGGTGGAATATATTTGGGCTGCGAAGGTGGATCGAAAAAGTGGATTTTATTCATATTACCGGGTACCCGAGTATCTTCACAGTGTTGGCTGAAATCTTAAGCACCTTAGCACAAATATTTCCAAAACATTGTATTTGTGTAACCCTTTTATATCTGCTTAATAATTTAGTTTGGCTTATAATAATTTTAAAACTCTACTTAACAAACCGATGACCAGTATATTATGCGTATATTTGACAAGTCGTTAAAAGTATTAATAGTTTGATCTGTTATATGGTTATCCTAGGATCTATTTCCGTCTACATTCAAACATTAAAGAAATTGAAAGGTAGTAAAAATCGGTGAATCATTATATTTCGTGTTTAAGAAGAGAATTTGAAATTTGATATCATATATATTTATATATATGATACATATATTTCCTATGAAGAATACACAATATTTATTTCTATTGAATTTCATAATGTCCATGGAAATATTTTATTCACTGTGCGGTTTCAACATTTTTTCACTTTTCTTTACTGGTTCGGTTGATTTTTTTAAAGAGGACATTGCCTTCTCCTCTTCATTTAGCTTTTTAAGAAGGAAATACATTTCTGCAACACCAATAACAAGTGCGCAAAATATTCCTAATACTAAACGTAGACCAAACTCTATGCCACCGAAAATGAGTTCCAATCCTAAAAAGCCGAATACAAAGCCAGCCCCTACCGAAAATATGAATTGTAATACTGCAATCATTTGGCTATTCATGGCCTTCACTGAAAAACAAATATACATATGTATATAGTTAATAACATATGCAAATGTATGAGGTAGAACAACATACCTTGATAAGCTATGGTGTCTTCGGGTACATATTTTAAAGTTGAGTCTACGTTTTTGGTCATGTCTAAGTATTCCTTATTTTGCTGTTTCTCGCGTAATCGTTGACAACGAGCTTCAAGCTCTGGATTTCTTTCAATGACTTCATTCATTGGTAAATATAAGCGGCAGGTGTCTATTAGGTCATATAAAAAAATATCTAATCCTTTCTTTTCACGCAGCTGCGTTAACCACAACTTGAGCCAACGAAGATCTGATAAGTATAAGAAATTTTCTGTCGCAATTAATTTAGTCTCTTTGGGCTCTTCACAATCATGATTTGCTTTAGGGGAATTGGTTTTCGGTACATCTTGGTCTATAAGTTCTTCGACGCGTCGGAGCAGTTTTAAATCAATATGTTCTTTACTTATGGAATCCGATCCAAGCAACTCAATACTATTTTCAATATGAAAACCATTTGCTTTTAAAACTTTTGCTAGATTTTCGGGGATTTCTGTTACGGTGTCTTTGTGCTCCTCAATTAATTGCAATAATCTCAGAGTTGGCCGCATCCGAACGCGGGTATCAGCAATGCTTATCTTTGTCATTTCTAACTGTATTTTAATGCGCGCAACAACTTTACTTAGGAATGTTCAACTTTATTTGTAAATCAGAATAAAGTTCATCTATTTCCTCCTCTTTTTCTTCAAATGAGTTCTTGACTCGTTCGTATTTATGTTCCAAATCAATGAGAAAATTCGCTTTTTTACGTTCACGATCTTTACGAGACTGTATAAGATATTCGTTAGGCTAAGAAAATTTTAAATAATAATTAATAAATTTGAGAAGATTTGTGCCAGAATATATGTGGTTCCAACCTGCTTCCGTAGCTCCACCTTGTTGAGAAACCCTTCGACACCGACTAACAAATTATTTACTTCTTGGTTTAGTTCCCCTAAATGTGATGAACTCAGAATGATACACTTTTCATATAGATCGTATTTGACGTCGCCTATAATTTCAGTCACTTTGAACAGCGTTTCCACTTCTGCTTCGTTGCGTTTCAACTCAAATTCATTCAGAAAATTGTTTATTTCTCCATTTACAAACGCCCGGTGATCCAAAATTCGTTGTTCGGCAGTGGATAAATCTATATGAAAAGGCAATGCTAGATTACATTACAAAAATTAAATATTATTAACCAACCTCGTCCCAACTGGCTTAACATTTTCTTTGTCACATGAGATTAGTAAACCTTAATGACAGTGCTGTAATTGTATTGCAAGTCGGGGTATTCACGAAAACCAAAAATTATTGTAAATATATAATGTGTCTATATAAAGGCTTTATTTGATTATAGTACAATAATTTGCTCTTAAGGTAATGATTGCAATCAAATTCGGTTTTTACTAACAAATAAAATATGAAAATATGAAATAAATGTTTCTATTTATGTTTAGTTTACTTTTCAAAGGGTTAATTATATAATAAATATGTTTTCAATATTTACTTAACCTAGTCACTGTAACATTATAAGAGAAAATAGGACAATTTTCTGCACGAGTCATAAATATGCATATTATATTATAGCAAAAATAAGAAAAATTGAACAGAATATAATTATATTATTAAGTTATTTATAAGCAAAGAAAACATCGTGTTACCGGATATGTTGCAGTTAGAGTATCGAATTTTGATATTCAATTGCTTGCAAGTTTATGGCAACGCTGCTTAAAGTCACGTACTCACTCGAATATTAACCAACAGATGTCAATTTTTCTCTGGCATTAACAACCAGCGGTTATAAAGCAATAAATTACCAAAATTATCCTACTCGATAAATGTAAAATTGGAATATTTCGGCAGATATTAGTGTAAAAATACAAACAAAAGTAAACTTTACTTCAATAAAATGAATGAGGAATTCAAACTGCCTAAACGTTCTCGAAAACGGCTTCGTGAGGTAAAGCGTAGGGCTCGTCCGGAGTTGGGGGACAAAGAGGCATGGTCTGCCTTACGATATTACGAGAGATTTCAAGATTTTCAAAAATTTGAGGATAATGTTGAACGCATTAAGGAGTCTGACGTTAGTTGTGAGGAGTTTATAGAACGTTATGAAAAACCCTACCTTCCAGTTGTTATAGAGGGTTGTCAAGAAGGATGGCAAGCAGAAGAAAAATGGACAGTATCACGTCTAGCAAAAAAGTATCGAAATCAAAAATTCAAATGTGGAGAAGACAACGAGGGTTACAGTGTTAAAATGAAAATGAAATACTATGTCGAATATATGCGGTCTACTCTTGATGATAGTCCCTTATATATCTTTGATAGTAGCTTCGGAGAACATCATCGTCGTCGTAAATTGCTTGATGACTATACAGTGCCGAAGTATTTCCGCGATGATTTATTCAAGCATTGTGGAGAAGAACGTCGTCCCCCATACCGCTGGTTTGTAATGGGCCCAGAACGTTCTGGTACTGGTATACATATAGATCCTTTGGGTACAAGCGCTTGGAACGCACTTCTTAGAGGTCATAAACGTTGGTGCTTATTTCCAACCCAAACTCCTAAGGACCTTTTAAAAGTACCTAGTGCCGTGGGAGGAAAGCAACGTGATGAAGCAATAACCTGGTTTAACACGATTTACCCACGAACTAAACAATCAGACTGGCCGGCAGATTTTCGACCCCTTGAAATATTACAAAAACCAGGTGAAACTGTGTTTGTGCCAGGGGGTTGGTGGCATGTAGTGTTGAATTTAGATGAAACTGTCGCCATCACTCAGAACTTTTGCAGTCGCACAAATTTCCCGGTTGTTTGGCACAAAAGTATTCGAGGTCGTCCAAAATTATCTCGAAAGTGGTTGCGTGTTCTACGTGAAAAGGAACCAGATTTAGCCAAGCTTGCGGAAAGCATTAATGTTGAACAAAGTACCGGCTTTGCGTCAGATAGTTCTAGTAACTCAAGTTCTTCATCTAGTTCCTCATCATCATCATCAGAAAACGAAGGTAATGATAGCGAGAGTGGCAGCTCCAATACTGATAGTGGGCAAGAAAGTCTAACCGCTAAGAAGAAGAAAAAGAGGCGGTTGGGAGGTGGTATGGCGTCCAGCTCTTGATGTCGGCTGCGTTGTAGTGACGAAAATATAATGATAAATGCAGAAATTAAATATACTACTTATGATAGCGTTCACCGATCTGAAGAAAGCAAATTAAAATTAGGAGAAAATAGAAGCTTAACAAGAATGCTCCGAATGCGTTTGAAGACGCTCCTGCACTGCAAAAGTTAACATTTATATAACAAGGCACTTCATACCCAACCTTAATTAAATTCATTAAATCAAACGATCCTAAACTTCGGTTTAGCTAAATGTATTCATGTAAGAATTCTAACCAATATTTAACGCGGATCGGATTATTTTAAGCAACTGTATACATTTTAATTTGTTTAGCAGCAATAAGTAGTAACAGTATAATATATAGCGTTTTCAGTTGGAACTTTAAAATCATATTGAAATATTACTTCAAATAAATTAAATTACAAAACTATAAAAATAATTATGTATTATTTATCGGTAGTATCCATATATGTTGGGTATTATTTGTGGGGTATACACTTGCTGCTACGAAAGCCAAATGAACTGTGATGATTGTATAATTTTAATTAATGAGGAATTAATTAGTCTCCGAGATAATGGGAATTATATAAATTTGATATTACAGTATACATTACCTCAACAAAATCTCAATACTCAGTTATTGCCACCAGGAAGTCAACAAAATTAAATAATATTCACCCACTCGAATAAGAATAACGAATCAGCTACATACATTTTATAAAATTGTTTATTTGGAAATTCTAAACAAATATTAGACAAATTGTAGCTAACTTAGAGCGAAAGGTTGGAAATGATATTGAAATGTTTGAATATCCGTTTGTGTTACCCTTTAAAATTAAAATATACATACTACCCACAATGCATATAGGATGTTTTTTGTGTTGTGTTTCATTACTTTTACTTAATGATTCAGACTGCACTTATTTTTACTTTTACCGTTATCTTCGCATTATTTCGCATTTATCTTGCACCCAAATATGGTTTAGACTCTGATTTTGTTTGTGTTATTTGAAGTATTGAAGTATCATTGTGGCAATTCTAATTCGCGTTATTCTGCCATAAAAGGTTCTCCGATTTTTTTTGACCTGCTTGTTTGGCGTTTTTGTATGTATAAAGATGCCAAAAAAAGAAAGCTTGTAAATGAAAAAGCAGCTTTTAATCAATATACTGCGCTAGCCAACGGAAACCTTCGCCATAACCCTGTCGCTTCAGTACAGAAGACATGAATAACTCCAGAGGGCGTCCTGGAAGCTCCGAACGTTGCACTTTACCCTAAAATCATATCAGATTAGAATTATTTTATTTAAAGATAATAAGTTATTTATATGTATATATAGGTTAGGTACCTTGCCGGTTGTCAATTGATAAAGACCGAAAACATTTCTAAGTTCATCCTCGCTTGCGGCACCTGGTTTATCGATTTTGTTACCCAAAATTAACACGGGACAGTTTGACAGCGCTTCATCTGTTAACAACGAGTCTAATTCAATTTTACTCTCTTGGAAGCGACCTCGGTCCCAAGCGTCTATCAAAAAGACGATTGCATCCACAGCTGGGAAATAGTCCTTCCAAACGCGACGGGCTATATTAATTAAGACAAAAACAGAAGTACATCATTTTCAAATATGTATATTTGTTTTGTACTACTACACGAAGCAATAATTGTAATTTTTTGTATGAAGTAATATTTTATTCAATTGACAATAATTGGTAATAATTTTTAATTTATATGGACTGGAAAATGATTTATTGGTATATATTTAGAGACCAGTGTATTTATTAGTTCAATATAGTCACAAATTTTAATGTTGCCAGTAATGGTATAACTATTCACAAGCTGTTATCAATTTACATACATATGTATATTCCTCTAACTCTATACTAAGCAATCATTTTAGTGCTTGCAATCTTACTAAAATGCAAGATCATTGTCAATCTGACGTAAAGATACATATGAGCATGTTTACAAATTTATTATTATCTTAGATACTGCAACACAGATATAGGCCTCTAAGTTCACTGGTGTGCAGAAAATTCATGAAAAAAATATATGTATGTATGTACGTTTTAAATCTAATTGTAATAAATCTATGTACGTATATATACATATAAACATACATACACATTTTTTTATGGTATATTTGCAATCTTTATTTTGTCAGAAAAATTCATTTTCAAATTCAAAAATGTTACGTAATAATGTCTGTATGCTATTTACAGTTTATTAGTCTGAATAAGAAACTATCGAATATCGTGCTTATTTAATATTATGATTCGCTTCGTAAGTCTGCATTTCAAAATATACATATACAAATTTGGAGAAGGACCATAGATTACAAACATATTTCTTTTTTTTTAATTTCATATAAATTGGCATAGTTTAACATATATTTAATTAACATTTGAATATTCTTACCTTGCGTGTGGCCGCCCAAATCGAATGTGGTAAAGCGCATATTGCCAATTGACAGTTCTTCTGACGCTAAATAATTAAAAAGGAATTGAAATTCCGTTTTTGTCCATATTACATAATATTGACTTACTAGGATGAAGTGTTGGTACATGCTGTGCCAGTTTATCGTCTTTGAGCATATGCAACAATGTTGTTTTGCCGGCATTATCCAGGCCAAGGAATAATAGCTTGCCGGATTTCTTCCACAGACCTGGTGATAATAACAAAACATTCAGTTTTTGACACAATATCAACAACAAACAAAGCACAAAACTTTAAATATAATATCTTGGCAGTTCCATTCAAATCCAAATTTTTGTTAAGTGATATATGATTATATACGAAAAAAGTTCTTTAATGTTTTATTAATTCGATTGTCTTGCATATTTGCTGTATAATCTGAATGCAGATCATAAAGTACATTCGTGAATGTCAATTTAAAATAACTCACTTATTTTTTAATTTATGTATTATATAAATACGCAGGCAGATATCACAAAATCGGTTTACTTATGAGGTCTTCTACATATTTTTAATGTTAAATATTTACCCAAGTATCCTAAAACACCAGTGAACCAATCCCAAATGAACATTTTGCTATTTATTGGTGTGTAGTTATCTGTAAATAGAAAAAATCATGTAATAATATTTCAAAAGCTACAATGCAAATATAAAGATATAATGCAAATATAAAACATGAACATTATTTTGAACCCTTGCAAAATATTAAAAAAAAAAATACATACGGATTCATTACGCCTTATTTAGCACGATATGCCTTGACATGAAACAATTTTTTCGACAATTTGAGTCCAGAAAAATCTCTAATTGTGCTAGTAAAGAGTAAAAATAAATGGTATAGGAGCAACTTTCAAACAATAGGACAAGGTCGCATACATAGCACCGATTTCAGATTTCTGTGTATGTAGAACTTTCCTTACATTAACAATGACTTTTGATCGTTAGCATTTCACCCAGGAAGTTATAATAATAACCCTTGTCCCCATGCCTTGACCAAGTGAATCTGCATGAAAAATACGTATTGCTGAAAATACATTTTAGCAAGTTGTTCTTTTTATACGCATCACAATGGAAGTAGTTTAAGTAGGTGCGACCAATGATTGAGATACAAATCATATCACCCAAACTCTAATAAGATGACTCGTGCTAATAATTACACTTCACTTTTGCTTTACACACCACACCTAATAGTGTTCCTATTATTACGAATATTTACCTTATAAATAATTTACAATTAAAAAATTTCAAGGAAATATTGAAACTTTTAATTTATTCTCGCCTTTTCCCGTGTTTCAGCGATTTCTTTTACACTAAAAAAGAAAGACGAAGGCGATGACAACGGCAAGTGGACAAAAGAATAGCGACAACGACACGACAGCAAAGGAAAATCCAATTCAAAACTCTTTTCCTCGTGTGCGTTTTGAACCTGCTTCCGAAATTCAGAGAATGTCAAATCAAATTGTTGAAATTTTCTTTTCTTCGTTCTTTCACTGTTATGCTAACTATAGTGTTGTCCCTGTTTTTCCTTTGCAGCTCTAACGAAAACAAAAATGTCATTATGGTTTTTTTAAGTTAGTTTATCGTTTGTACTTCTTCTAACATGAAAGTGTATGATAATTGCGGTGTTCATGAAGTTTCGTATCAAAATATCCGTTTATTGCATAAAAACTTGATAATTATCTAATACAGATACGATATTTCATCAAATCATGTCAAGTTGAATTAAAAACAATCAGCACCACGAAAACTTTCTAATTTGTGTTTAAAATATTATCGATATGAAAGCATTAATCAAAGCGCCACCTATTGTATAATAGCCAAAACAATTCTTATTTCATGTTATTTAACCGCTATGGCAAAGTGTTTTTGAAGTTTCAAGGTGTTTTATAGCAAAGGCATATCAATTTAAATTGTGGAAAACCCGATATTTTTTGTGTTATGCCTTTTTTTATTGTCTTATTAAATTCTCTCTCTAGTATATTGTTTTATATTTTTAAGTTGATCTAAGTAATAGTTTCGGAGAAACAGGTCTGGGTCTAGGTTATAAGTAAACCACGTATTTATTTAATTTTGGATGATCCTGTAAAAAGTTATCATTCCAAAGCGGGCGCACCTTTTTTCCGAGGGGTCACCGGGGTCGTAATGACCGAGTTGAAAATATTTTTTTCCGAAAATTTCAGAATTTCTTTGTTCATAGTGTATGTTTGTGGCAATAAAAAATATTTAATTTTTTATATGAGAAAAAATTGTTGAAAAAAGGCAGTTTCAAAATACCCCCCAACCTAAGATTCGAAACCTCGTGTAATATTACACATCAGATTACTAGATGCAAAAATACCTTCGTAACCACTGTACTCTATTTGATCAAAAATAAATAATAATTTAAATAGAGTAGGGTTTCGGTTTTTATTTAATGAACTAAAAAAATACATTAGTATGCATTCGCATTCTATAATTAAAGATAATAGTTTGAAGTAGAAAGATATTTCGAGATGTCACGCCTACAAATATCGCTCAATATATAACGTACAAGCATTCATTAAGCATTAAAACGGGCCATAGCCTGCAGAACGATTTCTTCAACCTGGAATTTTAAAGAGGGAATGAAGAAAATTTTATTTATGAATATTAGTAATTTGTATAGGATTTTATAATGTTTTACCTGCACATAATCGGGCGTTTCTAATGCATACATAACCGCTTGGGCTACATCTTTGGCCTGCAGTTTTGGCAACTCGGCAACAGCTTTAGAATAAACGTTCAACAAATCCGTATCTACCATACCTGGACTAATGCTCTGTATATAATTAAAAATATATATAATTAATGTATATAACATGTATAATATGAATTAATTTTATGTAGCTAAATAATATAATAAAAAAAATTATATAATTTTCAATTGATTATTAAACCTGTTTTTATATATCGCAATATGTATCACAATTTACTTTTTCACATGCGAT